GCAGGCTCGCTCCAAGGGGTCAGTCCAGGAGAGTGGGAAAGGGGAGGCTCGAATAACACCTCCCACCTCCCTCCAGGACAAAACATGGGAAGCTACTCTGGTCGTGCAGTTAGTTGTACGCTCTCGCGGCCTAGCGCCGGAGTCACGGGGGTTAAAAAATAAAAACCTCGGGTTAACTTTTTATTTTATTTTTGTACACCCGTCTTTTAGTCTGCGGTCGTTCGTAAAACTCACCGACATCGCAGACGAGTGCGCCGGGCTCGAGGTCGTGCAGGAACTGGGCCACCTTGGGCCAGGCGCGGCCGCTGGGGTTGGGCGCGCAGCCGCAGCAGTTGCAGTTCCACGAGCTAGACGCGCCGGAGATCTCCTCGTACACCTCGTGCACGTAGGCCGTCTCGAGCGCCACGGAACGCGCCTCGCCGCCGCCACCCCCGCCCGCCATCACTGCAACATTCAAACATAGTGTTGATGACACATGTGTAAAGAAGAAAGAATCAAACATCTCTAAAGCAGGAACATATGATGCTGTTCCAACGACCATGATATACTGGCTCGAGTACATGGTTGCTGGCACAACCACCGGCTGTCGCTGTCATAGGGTTAGCAAAATCGTGTCTTTGGAGCAACAACCCGGCCACAAGAAAACGACGGTCGTTGGAACAATTATTCTTTTTTTTCCGTGAGGGCTACATGGCATGGACAGTCCGGAAAAATGTAAGGGTGGGATGAGAGCATTACAATTTTGTTTTATTTCCATTTGGTAAGTCAACGAATCAAGACTAGTCTCATTTCCTGTGAGAGTGCGCTGCACGGCGCCGCGCTCGTCCTTCTTACTCCCCCTGTATTTTCCCCCCTCTGTTTCGGAGAGGTTTGCTCTGGCGGTGAGGCCCGCGTCAATAACGTCGAGCAGAGATAATGGAACAAGCTTTGGCGGGGTGGAGGGTGGGTGGAGGGGGGAGGGGCTGTAGGTTGCAGGGGCTCAGCCGCGGCCCGCACAGCGCTGCTACGGCTCTGCCTGCGGCTCTGCAACAGGTGGCGCCTGGCCCAACCCTCGCTGCCGCACCCGCACTGCCAGCGCCAGCGAGAGCTCTGCCGACAGGGTGGTATGGTGGAACCGACCCATAGCCGACCAAGAGCACGGGGGGGACGAAGCCATGCGACGTGAGATGCGACCAAGCACCGATTGCTTTCGAAATGTTCTACCGTGTCTGGGTTCTAGCCCGAGTTTAGTTGTGTCCTCTCTCCATTATCGTGCATCCTGTAAGCCGGTCTGAGCCCCGGGAGGGCTCGGGCACGCTCGCCTGCTGCTGCCTCGGCTCTAGCCGATGCAATTGCAGCCAACGTCCCCATCTGGTGCTTGTCACTATTGAGTTTACTTCCCCGGTGCCGGCGTGACCGTAGTGGGGCGGGGCGGGGCGGGGCGCTGCTGGAGACGTTGGGGGTGGGTCGATCTACTGTGTTCCAGCCCCCGGCCGGCCCGCTCGGACCCCCCTCCCCCTCGCCCCTCCTCGCCGCCGAGCCACACCACGCTTCGGCTACGATATCGACAAGGCATTTAGGTCAATCATACCCTCCGCCCAGGCCGCGAGCGACCACCGATTGCGATACGCCCGCCTGGCAGCAACTATCTCAACGTGTGTTCAAAACAGCCATTTGGAGGAAACGTTTGCACTGATAAACCAAGTGTTCAAATGCTCAACACTTGTAAGTGTGCAACCGCAAGTTCAATACTTGCAAGTGTTCATATCAGTAGTAGCAAACTTGCAAGTGTTCAACTCGGTATTCAGTAGTGCACTTACAAGTGTTGATCAGTTGAACACTTGGTTTATCAGTGTGTTAGTTTCCTCATCGCGCGCAGTGGAGATTTTTCTGTTTGTCTGTTTACGAGATGTAGACACCAAACATTCGAATCTTAAGTTTGAATGCCCTCTGCTGCACGCTAGGTTTCCGACTGGCGAGCCGCGAGGTCGCTGGCTTGAACCAGGACGGATGTCCTCGCGCAGGCCAACGACCTTTCCGTCAAGTCCGCGCGACCTCCCGCGCCCACGTTCATTCATGATGGGTTTAGTGCCCCACTTCCCCATCAGCGCCCCCCGAGAGGGGTTGTAACTTGTGGCTCGATCAATAGTAATTGGATGATGGTGGGGAGGAAGTCATCACTCTGCCGCTACCTGCCGCCGCCCCGGCCGCCCCGCAGGGCGCCGCCCGGAGGCAGGGGCGCCGCCTCACGTCAGCGGCCGAGGCGTCAGCGTCGCACGACATCATCTTACGGGACGACGGCTCGGCGAGCTAATTGGTCTCGCAGCGAGGAGCAATATCACTAATCACGAGGGGAAAGGCGATGCTCGTTAAACTTTCTGAAATATATATACTAGTTACCTGATGTAGCTTTCCACGAAATGTTTGAGAAAAATGTATCCTAAAATGTGTTGGAAAGTAATAAAAGTGTTTGAAAGAACTTAAAAGTTTACTGATGTTTTTTTTTGTGAGTCTTTTTAACTCCCTGCTCTAAAATTTCCGAGTTATCATTACATCTTTAGACGACGCACTACTTGGCCGTCAGAAAATTTATCCTCTCTTTCGAAACAGTCGCCAATCTCAAACTGCGTCACAGTAGCACAGTACGCAGCAACCCCGGGAAACAACAATGCTGGTCGTCCCTGGAAAAACAGGCTTCGCTCCCGAGCCTGGTCGTCACGTAACCCAGACGCTAACAAAGGAGAACGCCGTCGTCTCCGTTCCGTTCCGCGGAACAGGGCGCGCACCAGCGCGGTGGTGACGGTTGTGATGTCCTCGCAATGCGCTCGGCGGCAGCCCCGCACGCCCCGCGCTCCCCGCATCGTCTCTTGCGCAACACGCTGCAGCCACTGTTAAAAAAGATCATGCCACCCACTTTTTCACCCCCCCCCCTACCGTCTGTGCGCGCGTTTGTTAACAAAAAGTAAACATTTGGCAAGAAAAGTTCTGAAAGGGTAGAATTTCCACCGCACTCTCATTTATTTACTTGGGAGTGTTTCGACCTCGCGCGGTGGAAAAGGCAGCTGAAAGCACCGCGACTGAGGCTGAGCACTTAAGCCTAACAACGTGAGGCAGAAGGGAGGGAGGGGGGTGGTGGTAATTGCGAATGACGGGGGACCGGGGGTTCGAGTTCGTGGTGGTGACGTGGTGCGAGATGAATGCAGGCTCCTATCGGCACCATAGCCAGCCGCCGCTCGCGCTACCCCCGCCCCCGCCAGGCAGAGATTGGGGCCAGCATGAGGCCCCCGGGCCCCGCACGCAGAGATTGGGGCGCCGGCCTCCCCTCTCCCCACCTTGCTCTCTCTACATCTTTCTCTCTCCCTCCTAACGTTCCGCTCTCACTCCCTCCCTCAACCGCCGCCGCCGACCCGACGACAGGTATGGATGCTGGGGTGGGAAGCAGAGGAAAAAACCACACACACACGTTCCCAATACACACTTTGGTGCCCGTCAGCCTTCTCTCTTTGTCACACCTGACATACGACACAGGTAGGAGAGAGAGACGTATATAGAGAAAAAAAGCTGTTCTCTCTCTCTCTCTTTTTCTGTCGGTCTGTGTGGTCTCTTCCTCTTTGTTCTTCGTATTCGACCCATCTCTCTTTCCCTCTTCAACCCCTTTTGCTCGCCCCTTATTTCTATCGTGAGCAGGATACAGACAGAGAGGCAGTCGGGCCTCGGCACGAGCCGCCCTGCTTCACTCGCCAGACCACCGAGGTGGTGTTCGATACGCCGATACGTCAAAAAAAAAGAAAAAAAAAGAAAGGGCGGAAATAGAAAAACGAAACAGAACCCACCGGTACCAGCGTGGCCCGTTGGGCATGGGCAGAGCAGCGCATATGGGGTTGGTGCGCTCTCTCCGCACATGAGCGACTCGGTGGAATCCCCGCGAGCAGGGGCGCAGGGCGGCGCGGGGCAGGTGCGGTGCGGGGCCCCCGAGCTGACGCCCTGGTGAGGGCCCCGGCACGGCCCCGCCCCTCCCGGGCCCCTTTCTCACTGCAGGGCCCGCCCCGCCTCGCCCCGCCTCGCCCTCCGCAGTGCGTACTAGGGCACCCGGTCGGGGGGGGGGGGGGGGGGAGGCGCACAGGGTCGTACACAGATTACGTCAATTTCATAGGACAGGGTTCTCGCTTCTTTCATTAGTGAAGGTAGCAGAAAGCTTTCTATCCGCTATAATAAAATTCCCCGGATTCCTGGAAAAGAGGTAACCTCTATGCTGTTCATTCACGAAGAAGGGCGTGCGTTGTGTCCTCCCCTCCCCTAAGGATTCTTTCAGAAAAGTACGTTGTGCTTCTTTTCAGATTTGTTTGCGGCAAATTTTTCGGGAGCTTGACGCCCGCGAAACTTGGGGTAGGCCATCCCGCAGTACACGTATGCACTGCAGTCAGGATGTTGCCTACAGGTCAGGCGTTAGGAGGGCTTGCTTAGGACGCACTTGCCGGGTTCACAACGGTGACTGAAGCAGGGTCTCCGCGGGCGGCGAGGTGCCTGCCGGGTAGGCAGTCCCGCGCCGGCCGCCTGTCCGGCTGGGTTGCCTACCCGGCCCGCTGCAGGCTGACGCCAGGTGGAGGTCTGTCATTCTGCCTCTGCGGCCGTAGCCCGATCGATTATCGTGGACCGAGCTGGAGCTGGGCTGCAGATTCCAGGTGATGGCGAGGCGTAGCTGCGGTCGTGCATTGACGACGTTTTTGAGCGATACCGCTTGTACGGTGTGAACTGAACACAAAACCCAACGCGGAAAAAGTTTGTCCCAAGGGATGAATATTGACAAGAGGGGAGTGGGGGGTACGTGCTTCATTATTATAGAGAGTAGAGATCTGCCGTCATCGGTGAAAATATTACACCTGCTCGTCCTGAATACAACGTCATTTTTTCTGGTCACCCCTAAAAAAAATGCGCCAAGTCACGCTCAGCTCCGGCAGCACCTCGCCTGGATGCTACGCGGAACCTGGCGGAGCCGGAGCGTTCTGGACCGGGGCGGTTCGAGGGGGAATTCACTAGGGTTCGTAGCGTACGGACTATTTCGT